CGTTCTCAATGCGATGAGTTTAAAATTAAAATTGATGCAATAAAAATTGAACTATCTTTTTTAATCAGAATTTACAAAGCCTGAACAACTATTGCATGAGCTTGAGTTACAGAAAAAACAGCACCACAAAGATGCTGAAATATTTTATGTTAGGAAAAGAAATGCTTGGTTTAAAGCACAAAGGGAGTAAAAATTTGAGGCAATTGCTTTTGATTTCCAAAAAAATCTTAACTTACCAAATCAATCAACTATCGACTTTTACTACAAATGAAAATTAGCATTTTATTCATTTAATATTCACGTGCTTTCAAGCAACGAAGTTTATTTGTGCAACCAAATAGTGTTAAAAAACTTTGATTTTTCTAAACATTGTAGTTTCCTTACTTTCAAAAATAAACTGAAAAAAGTTATTTTGACAATTGATAACATCTTCGAGTTTTTTTGAATGTTTTATTTAAATATTTAGTTTTATTACATATTTTGACATTTTTTAACGATATTTTATGTTTGGTTTTGGCTTATTTAAAATCTTGTATTGTAAATATTGTTTTTTTGTTTTTATTTATTTTGTTTCGCATTGTTAAACGGTTCTCGGTGACAGGATTTTGCCATCCTCTTCGAGTTTCCGTGTTCTTTTTATTTTATGTAAAACGATATTATACCAAATAAAATTGTAATAAAAACAAAAAAACAAAAAAAACAAAAAAATTGTATTGTTATGATGAAACTATAGCTTAAAATGGGGCTGATGAAGTAACTTCGATGATTTTTTTATAAAACATTTAGACAAAGAAATTTGATCTGTAGAGCTATTTTGTGATTCATGTGATTTATGTGATTTTTTGTTCATAAAAAAAAAAAGGTTTGACTTTATTAAAGTTACATTCCTAGAACGTGGTCATTCTGTTATGAAATGTGATAAAGATATGGGATTAATTAATTGCAAAACACCCACTAGTGATTCATCAGATTGGATTAAAACAGAATTAACGCAAGGTATAGTTAAAAGTATAACTGATTATATGAGACCATTTTATAAGAATAAAAGTCCAAATCCAACTTGTATAAACTTGAATAAGTTTTTGTTGAAAAGTAATTTAAAAAATAATAGGAAGTACACTATAAAAAGTGAAATCCCCATTCTGTATAATGCAAAATTTTGCATCTCTATGGCAAAGTACAGAGATTTACAAGTAATAAAAAGGTTTACATCCAATGCTCAGGTTTACGATTTTTCGCCATACAAAAATAATTTTTTTCTTAGTGTTTCTTGACAAATTTGTAATCTTTAATATGTTCCTTCTTTGCTTTACTTAATATACAACAATTTCTATAATTAATAATTACAAGATATTGAATATATTTTTTAATTATTAGTCAGGGTATGAAAATAAAAATTCAAATCAAACAAATACTATATTGTTTTTAAGCCTATAAAATTTTAAAGCTCCTTTATTATCAGGAAAGAAACTTTGCTTTAAATAATTTTTTGTACTTACAGTTTGTGACACCTATATATTTATAGTTATATAGGTATTTAATAGGTTAACCTTTAAATTAAAAACAAATTGAACTTTGTCATCGACAGTGATATTTTTGAATGAAAGATTTATAATAAAAATTAAAGCCTTTCGTTAACGAGAACTAGAACTATGACTAGTTCTAGTTCTCGTTATCAAAAGTTCGAGATATCAAGTATTTAAGATATCGAGAGTTGACTGTATGTGATATTTTCGTGCACGAAAAAAGAACAAAAATTAAAGCCTTTTGGTAACGACAGCTATAACTATTTTCTAAACAAAAACATCAACACTGAGCAGTATTTTTAATTTTAGTTCGATCCCCTAGACTTTTTAAGGGTCAATATTAGGTCTTGGTGGTGAGGTTGTTTGGTAAAATTAGCTTCTGCCTAATTTTACTTATAAGCTAATAAAAAAATAATTATCATTTTATGTTTTTAACTGATCGAAAAACTAATAAAATAAAAAAAGACATTTTACCGCGAAATAAACGGCCATAAAAAACCTCACTCTAAAAAGAAACTTATAACGTAAATTATTATATTTAAATTAAAAATACAACTTTAATTGCATAAAAAATTAGTTCTTTTTGAAATATATCTTAAAAATTTTAATACTTTCCCTAAAAATAAAAAAGTTATATAGGTTTAAAAGTTTAAAAATGAGTTATCAAAATTAAAATATGCTAATCAAGTTTTACTTCCACTACTCACTCCAAAATGTTTTTTTTTGTAGTGAGTAGTGGAAGTAAAACTTTATTAGGATTTTGTTTAAAAAGTCTCGGTTGGCACTTTGTACCACGGCGATATTTATCATATACAAAAAAACTGAACTTCTGTTTTTGTTTGTTTGATCATGGAAGTATAAAATAGATGGAAGTTCATCGAGCCGCAAACAACAAAACGATTTCAAGTCGCCTCGGGAGTATGCTTGTAACTGACAATAAAAAAAAAACAAGTTTCACTAAATAAAAAAAATAAAAAATTCACTGAAATGATCTTTATTAAAACATTTAAAAATAAATTATTCTAGAGATATGCTGCAAATTTTTAACCATTAGTAATTCAGTTAAATTTTTAACCATTAGTAATAAACCGTTTGCAATTATTCAGCAAAATTTGCAATTATTCAGCAAAAGGTTTATTAAAACTCGGTAATTAAATAGAAAACTTGATTTTGAAAGCATATGTTAGTTTAAGCTTCTTTTCTTGCTTCAAGTCATAACACGACATTTGATAAAAAAGACAACTGAAACATTTTTTACAATAACTAAAAAAATTGTTTTCTAAATAACTACCCAGTAAGCACAAGAGGCATTTTAGACACTTATAGACGTCTAAAACTAGTCTAGGTAAAGACGCACTTTTATAGACGTTTTAAAGACATATTCTAGACGTCTTTAATAAAGGCGTTTTTAAAATGACGTTTAAAAGGCGTCTATTTAAGCGTTAAAAAAACGCCTAGAAGATATCTTTTTTTAAGACATCTTCTAGACGTCTTTAATATATGCAATTTTAACATGACGTTTAAAATGCGTCTTTTTAAAGTTTAAAAATACGTTTAAAAGACGCGTAATAAATAGTCTAAAATAGGCATTAAAAGACGTCTAGATCAAAGCTGAAAGACGTCTTTTCTGAGACCTGTTTATAAATATGTCATTATGACTTCTTTTTGACGGCTTTGTCATTACGCGTTAAGTAGATGTCGTATTCAAAATAAAAACATAGTTTTTATTATTTTCAATAATTTGTTCAAGTTTTAAGTGTAAATTACTTTAAATTAAATTACTTTTTTACACAATTGCTAAAAAAAAATTGTTGTCACAGGAATCACTAAAATAATTGCTATAATAATATTATATCTTTTTTTTATTATTAATTATTTTGCTTTTTTAATAGATAGTTGACTGATCATGATACTAAGTGAAAATGGCAAGAATAATATATAAGTTAAATATCAGTACTTTTAGTTTTTATACACCCACAAGCCATATAATAAGTCAAGTATGCGGTCAAAAATTAGCTAGCAATATGTATGTTAAATTTTATTATAACTTAAAGTAAGTTAAAATTGTTTTAAATACTGTTTTGATATATATTTGTTAGTGTTATTTATTATTTTCATCTTTGATGCATCAACCGTTGGTGGTGATTACAGCAATATTATTTTGATTACTGGTTCCTATGTATATTTTGTATATACGAAATTATAACAATATATGATGTTATAAATACAATGAATATATACCACATACTACGCGAAATTGTTACGTCATGTACTTAAATTTATCTTGAAAAAAACGTCTAACATACGTCTAAAACGCGTTTTTATAAAGACGTCTTCATTTAGACGTCTTTTAGCCTTATGATCTAGACGTCTACAAGTGCGCCTTTTAGACCTCCTTAAAGACATCTTTAAAACGTCTTTTAAACGTCTTTGTGCTTACTGGGTAAAGTTTAAAGTTTTATTAGGTGTATATCATAACTCTATTCATTCTTTTAGTACTCTATTCATTTAATATGAAGTGTATAAAAATGCACCATATTTAATGTTTTTCTTGAAAATTATTGGCGAACCTTTTTTTTTTATTACCTATTTGCGTCAACCTATAAAGATTAGGCGTTTAAGTACAGTCTTGATGTCGTTTTCTTATTGCTTACAAAACAAAAGGTTACGAGCATAGTCCCGAAGAATTTCAATGCAGTTGAACTTTCATCTATTTTATACTTCCATGGTTTGATCAACAAAATTTTTTTCTCAAAGAGACTTAGAATATGTCAAGAAAGTTGGAAACTAAGTGTTTAAGGACTTCACGAAAAAACGAAAATATGAAATTTTGTGAAATATTTTTTTCTCTCGTTAACGAAGTCAGTTCGGTGTCAAAGTGCTCGGCGCGGATCAAACCTTTGATTAATATCTTTACATATGTTGTTTATATACAATATCTATAAAACTTTATAAGTATTTAAATTTGCATTTGGAAAAATCTAAAAAAATTTGAAAAAAAAGTCGCCAGCGGTAGGACTCGAACCACGGCTTTCTTTATTCTAAAGCTCAGCGTACTAACCACTCTATCATGCTGCCACGTTATTCCTTGAAGTTTTAAAACTATATAAAAAAGTGTTTTCAACGGATATAGGTGTTAAAAATTAGAATAAATTAAGAAGAGGTTGACGAAACGCAAATTACTACTACTACTACTACTACTACTACTACTACTATACTACTACTACTACTACTACTACTACTACTACTACTACTACTACTACTACTACTACTACTACTACCACTACTACTACCACTACTACTACTAAAACTTTCTTAAATGCTTAGAAATCAATTTTAACTTTTAAAAAGAACTTTCTACTTAAAACTTATTGATTTTAAAAATCATTTTAGATAATGAGGTATATAACTTAACACTTATTTTTTTAAACCTTTTATATTTGACCATATGCAATGTTGTTAAATTTTTTTTAGGATTTCTTGCGTTTCCTGCTGAGAAGTATCCACATTTATTTCAAAAAGGTTTTCTATGCTTTTTATCATTATTCTAAATTATTTTATTTTAAAATGCACTCTTCAAATATATTGCTTCTCTGACCTAAACTCTCAAACCAATCATCAGCTGTGAATAACTTTTGCTTATATATATATATATATATATATATATATATATATATATATATATATATATATATATATATATATATATATATATATATATATATATATATATATATATATATATATATATATATATATATATATATATATATATATATATATATATATATATATATATATATATATATATATATATATATATATATATATATGTATATATATATATATATATATATATATATATATATATATATATTTATATATATATATATATATATATATATATATATATATATATATATATATATATATATATATATATATATATATATATATATATATATATATATATATATATATATATATATATATATATATATATATATATATATATATATATATATATATATGTATATATAATTTCTAAGCTTATGTGTGTGTATATATATGTATACATATATATATACACACACATGAGCTTAGAAAAAAGTTGTTTTTTATTATGATTATCAAAACGTTTTTTATGGTTTTAACTTAATATCTTAAAATTAACCAAATATTTTGTATATGTAACATTTAACAAAATATATCAAAATATTTTATATGTTTTACTTTTATAAGTATCTGATGATAATCCAAACATAACTTAACTCTTCCCTCAGCAATATTGTTGGTAACTTTGACTGTTTTCACAAAAGATTTTATTCTTAGATAGTTTCCGTCCAAGTTTAAGCCATTTATTACTATCATCTAAGTTATGAAAGTGAAACCAAGATTGCTTTCCTTTATATAACAAAAACTCCAAGTTTTCTTGAAAAGATGGAATAGAAGGTTTTTCAGAATTGATAGCGAGTGGATTTTCCAAATTTATCAATATTAGTTTTTTTCATTTGTAGAAAGTTTATTAGAAAAGAGACTGAAGACAGATACCTCCTCAGTTAAACACCAAGAGTACCTAGTAAAAACTTCTTGAGCTTTTTGAGAAGCCACAGTGAAGCCTGATATTTTCATCCATATGTATAACTGAATATCATTAACTGGTGAATCAGAATCTTTTGTTGCTTTTAGCCAAATGTTAACATACAGAAATTGAAAGTCAAAAAGATTTTCAATTTAATATATTAGATTTAAGTAAATCTTTTTTAAAGATAAACATATAAGGTACATACATAAATGGGGCACCCATTTCCCATGATGATTTGTTCCACAAGTTTTTCATAATTTATGTTCTTGTCCACCCAAAGATAAAGTGGTAAATCTACCACTTCCTTATAATTATCTCTTCAGTTTTTACATTTTACTTGTTTTTCTAAGAACACACGAATTTCTACTGTATTCATTTTAAGAAAATCATTTCAAGATAAATAGACTTAAAGCTTTTTGAGTTTTTTAGCTTCTCTAAACTTTTTCTTTTTGAAAATCATGAAATCTATATTAACATTAGCTTTTGTAATTTTTTTAAACAATGAGTCTCAAAATGCTCCAAGGATTAATTCAAATATATGATGGTGACAAGCCAGCCTGAAAGAGTTGTCATTAGTTTCGATTTTTCTAAAAGTGTCGCAGCTCTATTCTTTATTCCTGTGTTACAAGGAGTCTTGTCGGAAACCTGAGAAACAATATTCTATTTGAAATCCCATTCTCCAATGTCTTCTAAGACTCCCTTGCAAAGTCCTGTACCGGACTGTATAGGTTTTATTGACAATATTTTACTTTTAAGACAATTAAATCACAAAAGTTGAAAATTTATTCAATAATAGTTTTGATGATTCAAGAATAGGCTTTAACTACTTTTGATAAAATAAGATGTCAGGCGCATGGTTACCACAGCAACTGCAATTAGTATTAGTAATGTAGAGCTGTTTATGAAGGAATTTAGTCTATGACTTATCCTCTTTTGTAAAATAAGTTCCTCTTATGCTGTCTGCAGACATAACTATGCAACTGACTGCAGCAGATAATATATTTTTTTCTTTCTACTAAACTGTATAGCTTAACCTATATAGGAATTAACTTTATAAATTAACTTTATTTTATGTGTTCTTAGTCTTATGTTGTATTATAAATAAATGTAAAACATGGAAGTAAACTCAAATAAAAATGAACAATTTCTTGAGAAAAAAAGCCAGTAAAGAAAAGGAAAGCTGATCCAAAATTTTGAAAGAGAAACATTTTAAAGGTTGCCAGAGTAAAAGGTGAAAAAATTGTTAACTACTAAGAAAATACTGTACCTTAAAAGTACACTGGCTTACCCTGCAAGTAAGTTGTTTTGTTTACAATGCTACTAATAACTTTCCAATTTCATTTTCACAGGTAAAATTTGTAATAATACGCAGTATAAATGTATTTATTGTTTTTTTAGCTGCAAGATGAACATCTGATAAAACTAATATGGAAATCAATAAAATGGGTATATTAAACTATTTCCATACCTTCAACACTAAAGATGACAAGAATTTGGAAGGATAAGAGTTTTAAAAAAAAGTGCTATTTTTAAGAATCACGTTGTATTGCATTCTGATTTAATACAGGTATGTTATAAAGCTTTTTTAAGTTTACATTTTGTTACAAAGCAATAAATTGAAAAATTGCGAGGTTTAAAAAAGATTAGGAAAAACCCAGTGGATAAAAAAAAACCTCACATAAAACATTTTCTGAAAAAACCAAACTTTTGATCAGGCAGCACATTGGAAGCTTTCCAATTTGGGAAAGTCACAATCTTGGAAGGTCTACATGCTATCTAGATGCAACTTTAAATCTTAAAACTATGTATAAGCTGTTTAAAGAAAAATCCTTTTCGAAATAAGTTGGCAAAATGAAGCTTTTTAAATACTTTAAACAAATCTATAATCTTTTTATTGGAAGGCCGCAATTTAAGTTAAAGGGTCTTCGTTTCAATGAGGCAGCAAAGAGATATGTTTAATCTTAACTTGATGTACATAAATGTAAATAAAAAAAGTTTTGTAACCGAATCCGATTATAGTTAAAAAATTAAACTAAATTAGTTTAACAAAAGCTATCTTTTAAGTATACAAATAAAATTATGGTATAAAATAAATAATTATTGCACAATTCGTAATTATTCAATTTTGATAATGAACTTATAGATTTTTTTCCTTAGAAGAACAATGTCAATAACAAGAACAATAGTAAAATTTTAACAATGCTTTTTGACTTTATACAGAGCATAAAAATCTCAAAAATGCAAGTTAAAGAAACCTTTTATCTGAGGCAACTTTCAGTTAATGTTTTTTTGTGTTCATTACAATATAAGTAAAAAAGCACATGATTTTGTTTACCACCAAGACACAGCAGGCAAGAGTTTAGATGTGTTTCATTCTATTTAACTATTTAATGAAAGGCTGTACACAGTAGACAAGTATAAAACTTTATTAAGACATCCTCCAAAAATTGTAAATTTCCCGTTGGGAAATGAGCTAGCAACCTAAAACTGGCTAGCTTTATAGCGATTTTTAATTAATATATTTATATTTACCTTAATATATTTATATTAAATCATTTTTATAACCAAGAAAATAATTATACAAATTAACTTCGATAAAAATTAACATTAATAAAGCCAAAAGTACTTTGCATTGCTATGCAAAATTAAAATGAATTTTTTAGATAATAAACCTGATTGCTCAAATCTGCAAATATCTTGGAAACATCCCAGGAGCTGCCCAAAACAAAGATACGTTAAATCTAACAATTAAACAGCCATCAAAATGGCATTATATATATTATAATTATATATATATATATATATATATATATATATATATATATATATATATATATATATATATATATTTATATATATACATATATATAAATATATATATATATATATATATATATATATATATATATATATATATATATATATGATATATATATATATATATATATATATATATATATATATATATATATATATATATATATATATATATATATATATATATATATATATATATATATATATATATATATATATATTTGAAACATTTTTGGATTCTTTTGCGAAAGGTTTGTAGCAACTGATGCAATTGTTATTTTGATTAATAGTGATTGGTTAAACTGTTTTTTAACCAATCATTTATAATATAGAGAACAAATTCATCAGTTGTGACAATTTTATAGAAAAATTTGATAAAATATACAAATACGATTGATTAAAGCCTAAGATATTTCTTCTTTAACCAATCATACTTATATTTGGTGAAAAAGAATTGCATCAGTTGCTCCAAAATGAAGGAAATTTTGTCTAAGTAACGGATAAGTAATTATAGAGATCAAATAAAATCGAGTTTAGATGTAATAATTTTTTTTGAGTTTGAAATAAGTTCTACATTTTTTGAGAATATCAGATTCTTACAGTCCCATGACAATTTATTAGTGCCACCAATATTTTTTTCATATTTTCTTATTCAGGTTGAATTTAACAATTGAAAAGTAATGTAATATATTTTAAATGTATTGTTTATAAGAAGTCAATTATGTATAAAGTTAATTTCTTCAGATTTTTTTTTACTATTGGCATCCCTGATATTTCTGGAAGCCATCTTGTCAAGACACAATTACTCAACTGTCATCTTTACAAGCACGTGATTGTTTTTCTCTGTCTATTTTATCGTTTTTTTTTTGAATTCTGAAGAAGTAAGTGCAATATTTAGTTTTTATTTGTTTTACTAATATAATTTAAACTTCTAAATAAAGATTTTCTAATATTATTATTACAGAAAGGTCTTTTTTGATAATGTTACAACTCTAACCTCAAAAATCTTGTATTTTTTAGTAATGGGTAAAAAAGAAGAGACCTTTCACCAACAAAAATTGAATTTATAAAAGCATTGATGAATGAAAAAACACTTTCACAGCGTGAAATTGCTAAAAAATGTGGTATTTCACATACCTCAGTACAGAGAGTTGTCAAAAAACTGGATATGGGGGATAACTGTTTACCGAAAAAAAAAGGTAAATGTGGTAAAAAAAAAGTTTGACTCCTCGTGGTGAAAGAACATTGTCGAAAGTAATAAAGGAGGATAGGACTGCTACTAATTCTTTCATAAAAAATAAATTACAAGCCTCTGGAATTCAAATGTCCACCAGAACATTGCCGAGAAGACTCTCGGCAATGATCTCGGTTATAAAAGTAGACGGCTAATAAAAAAGCCAAAGTTAACAATCAAAATGAAAGAAAATAGATTGAAATGGGCTCTGAAGTATAAAAACTTTACAGTAGAAGATTGGAAACAGGTTTGTGTTAAGTTATTTTAATATTTTTATATGAAAACACACATGGAATGAGAAATTATAAAACAATATTTTATTTCAGGTTTGCTTTAGTGATGAGAGCACATTCCAAGTGATGACAAACAAAGCTCAGTAAAAAACAAACAAAGCTCGCCATAAAATATCGGAAAAATATCACGAAGACTGTGTTATAAAAACTGTGAAATATCCGACTTCTGTCATGTTTTGGTCCGTGATAAGCGGAAAAGGTTTGGGTCGACTCTACGTTGTAGAGGGCATTATGAGGCAAAACCAGTATCGAGATGTCTTGCAACATCGATTGTTACCACAATTAAGGAATTGGTTTGGTGAAATGGAGAAATTTATATTTATGCAAGATGGTGCCCCTTGCCATACTGCAAAATCTATAAAAAAGTTCCTCTCATAAGAAAAAGTTCCATTATTGGATTGGCCAGGTAACTAACCAGACGTCAATCCAATAGAAAATGTTTGGGAACTCCTGAAGAGAAAAATTTCAAAAGAAAATATCACAAACAAAGTTAATTTGATTGAAAAATATATTATTGGAACCACGATATAAATTTAAATGAAATGTCATTAAAATGTATTGAAAGCATGCCTCGACGCGTCCAAACAATTATTGATGCCAAAGGCGAGCTCACAAAATATTGATACAATGTGTGTCTATCATTAGGTTTATTAATTTTTGTTGTTATTTTATAGATTTATTTGGTTTAATTGTGTATATGAATGTTAATCAATTAAAAATAAAAAGTATTTGAATACATTTTAATTGTTTACTGCATTTTATAACCCCAAGAAATCATTAATACAGAAAAAATGTAGGTGGCACTAATAAATTGTCATGGGACTGTATTTCTACTTTAACCTTTTATTATGAAAAAAAAATGAAAAAAAAAGACACTTAAATTTAGCTGTGCTAAAGGACGTGTCGACACCCTAGATCCGCCCTTGGTATAGGTATTTCTAAAATTAGTTTTGTTTAGTAGGAATAATGCAAATGTTGATTTCTTGGTCGTTTTAGTAAATAACATAATTTAAACATATTTTTTTCTGTCTTTTTGATTTAATTTATGCAAAAGAGGGATAAGTCAAACTATTTTATTTTTCTTTGATATGAAGCCATTGTAAATGTGTGTTTCCTTATAACAGTATATGTATTTTATGATAACAGGGGTAATAAAGCATATACAAAAAATTACATTTTTCTAAATGAAAAATTTCTAATCAGTGAAGAATCAAATAGTCTAACTGAATTGTATTTTATCTAAAAGTTTTTAAATAAAGGTCGGCCTTTTTAAGTGAAGGTCGGCGTCTGTCAATTACATACAATACAACTACATTGTCTTTACATACAAAACACGGCGTTTAGCGTTTACATGTTACATTTTTAATTGTTTGTTGAAGTATTGAGGATCCTCAATATGTCAACCCTACTTCTAAATTTTTTACAGACCTGATGCTGATTTAAATCAGTTTTGGTTTGAAAATTTTTTATCTATCTTATATTTTCTAATTCTGAGGGCTGTCTCAATAAAATCTACAATATCTTCTACATCAACTTCTGGAATCAAGGAATTGTCAGCGACTTAACCGGTGTAATAGCATTTGCAGATAATTTTAAATTTTATAATTTTGCCCACCCATGGTTCGTTTCATACATATAAATCATTGGTAGTGTCTTCTTTACCTTACGGTATGAATCTATTTAAAAATAATAACATATAATGAAAAAGTTTTATATAATTGGAAAGAATACGCTAAAATTACTACTAAATGTTTCAAAACACAATAAGAACTACTATTTTTTTATTCTATTCTATTTCTCTATTTAAAATTAGGAAAACATTTATCTGCTTTAAGCAAAATAAGCTAAACCTGTTCATATGTCTTCGTCAATATTAGTCCGTTGAAGTTACAGATTTATTCCGTTTGTGCAACAAACAATTTCGTTCGTTTCACAAACAATAAAGGAACTATTACACTAGGCGCTGATTGCTGATTTGGTAAAATAAATAATTTAATACGTCATCGTAGCGAATAGTTTATTATTCCCTTTATTAAAATAAAAAAGGAATTAAGCCAGATAAAACTGAGATTTTATTACAAAATATTCCTTATTTTCAATATATAGACTCTTTTATTTTAATATTCAACATCTGATATAAACAGTAGTATAAACTTATACAAAACAAACATGTTGTCATGTTATCACCGTCATTGTGATTGAGAACCACATCACCATTTCTTA